CGGGATTTTATGAGATTAATAATTTTTGTTCCGGATCTGAGTACTTTATGTACGTGATTCTGCATGTTTGCAGAAGAACCTACGACACAGGAGAAAATCTCGAAGCAGGGATATACTTTAAAAAGTGCAATTTTATCTACTATACTATCTTTTTAGAGACATAAATGCACGACGTCGTAAAGGGACTTATTTCACCATTTGATTTAACTCCAGTTATATCCACATAATAAGCATTCAAGTCACAACTCGAGTTCAGTCAACGTAGATCGTTAGACACTACTGCGGTTGCACAAGGAGTGTCGCGTCCTGTAATTGGTTGAATGGCCTTTGTATAGTTCCTAATGGTCGACTATGCTGGTTGCTCTTTGATATACGCGTCTATTTGGCTTGTTCGTATGATCGCTTGTTGAAGCCTATGATAGTGGTTAAACTTCGTTTTAAATTCGGAAACAAGAAGTTTTATGTTGTCCTAAAGCTTAGAGTAAAAAAAATCAAAATATAAATGGTAGTCTGTCAGTCTGTTCGTCAGTGAAGCTAGATACTCGTTTCAAATTGTAGATTCAATAAACTCCATGCTACTTAGCCATGGTTGTTTGCAAAAGTTATTGCAACGGTATTTTCTGTTTTTTTTTTTTCTGGGCAACTGATAAGCGTTTTGCGGATCGACTTCTATACGGAACTATGTTGTATGTCGTTCACCAGTTTTATTTACGGGTCTGTGTGATGAATATATATGAAAACGCACCCTCATCTCAGTAAAATGGGAGTGGGCAACATTAATAAAACAAATCTTAACGAAAACAACTAGTAGTAGGTACATAATTATCGGCCTCGGCCCAGAGCTGCAGGAACGGTTTTTAGTCAGTAAGAGTCTGACACTCCTCTTGCTCTCTCCTGCCCGACCCTAGGCGAAAGAACTCATTTGATGATTTTCCCCTCAAAAAAAAAGTGAGTACATTTATTAAGACGACGGAGAATTGGGAATTACTTACAATTTAAAGATTGAAAAGGCTATCAAAGAGAGCTGGATCATTACTCAGGGCTAGTTTCTATTAACTATGTAGTCCTTTAGGCAGCTTTTACCATACCCTGGGTTACAGAACGGGAGACAATAAGTTACACTAATAACAGATTAAATAATATTAACACAAATCCAACTAAGATTCCATTCTTTACTCCATTTTTCATTCCACACCCAATTTAATCTATGTAAAATCCTTCATTCATAATATTCCTTCGCTGCGAACTATTGTCAAGGCTGAATGGGTGGGCAAATTGTAGTTAATCGCATTTGAGAGACCCACTTATATAATACCGGGTACCTTTGTAAAGTAATCAACGCTCTTAGTAGATTCAAGGATGTTGCTGCCTAAGGGAGAGTTTACATGAACTATATGTTGGAAGGAACATTAAAATACTATGTGAAATTGTGAATTATCTTTTCTTATTTTGTCTTCACCCTATGAATGCTAACTGCTGAGCTAAGACCTCGTCTTAAATGAATTAGGTTTGATTAACCGCCAAGCTTTCTCAAGGCAGATAGGTGATAACATACTTTATAATTAAAAAAATATCCTCACTAAGTTTCCCTTTACCGTATGTCCGTTGTGTCTAAATGATCTTAAAACGTACATATTATTACTCTGAAAAATCAAATGAGTATTTACCATGTTTAAAATCCAACGCTACATGAGAAGCACGCACATGAACCTGCACTCCACCACGATATTCAGGAATTTTCTTATAAGGGCGTATTTTTTCTATTTAGTGGAAGTTTGTCCATTGTAAGATGAGTATTGCAAGCTAAAGTAAAATTATTCATGATGTAATAATTATGGAGTACAGTTTCGTCTATAGCTTGAACACCTGTGGGGCATGCTGTTGAATATTGTTGATATTGATATTGATGATATATTTCATTTCTTTTTGGTAATTTATGTTTTAATCTGCGCATGACACGTCGGAAATTAGTTCTTACTTTTAGTAGCAAATCTAAAAACTAAAACCGTATTTGGAACCCTAGATTATAATGATAATATCTGATCAAAATAAACCAACAAACGAAATAGTGTATACCAATTTAAACAACTCACCGATACGATCACTGTCCTAATTTAAATCGATTCTCGAAAACCTTGTAGCCCTAAATATGTAAATTAATCGAATAGTCGATATCTCACCGTGTAATAGAGAAGGAAACTCGTAATTTACCTCATAGAACTAAATCTTGTTGCCGGAGAAGGCTTACTCAAGTATATAGGGAACGTTTAACTTAGATAGTATTCCGATATCACATTAATCCCAGTCCCCACCAATATACTCGTATTTGCCAGTATCAATTAGGTTTATTTCTTAGATAGCACGTCTATAAAGTACTGATAATGGAGAGGTAATGAAATCTTTCAATTAATACTCTTCAATACAATACTTGATGGGATTATTTAGGTTTTAGAACTGAAATAGATATCTTATTGGATTTCATTAATAGTTGTATGGAGATTATAAGGGTGTGGAATAAGATACGAGACCCTTATCTTATATGGATACTGTTCTAAGTTAGCTTAGGTGTAGTTATTGAAACGAAGATAGCGTGATCTTGATAAATGTTTTAATTGTAATGTCTAAAATGCTTATAATTTTATTACGTAATACTAAAACTTTCTTATTTTTATACATAACGACAAAATGAACATTATTAGACTTTTATACATAATGTTTATGCTATACTTAATGCGTAGCTTGATTGGATGTCACATCCTACTAACATTATTAATGTGAAAGGGTATGTTAGTTATTCTTTTACACAAAAACGGCTAGACCGATTTGGTTGAAATTCGGAATGTAGATTATATAGAGGTTTATTTGTGAGGTAAAATCATCAAATGACTTCTCCCACCCAGGGCCAGGCGGAAGGGAGTGTCAGACTCCTACCGACTAAAAACCCCCTTGTTCCTACTCCTGGTCTGGGCTGAGATCGCGATGCCTCATTGCGCTAACCCCGCAACCCGGCTGGAATGTAGATAGGTGATGTCCTGGATTGGCACTTAACTGTGATACTATGCAAGTGAAGCCGCGTGCGAAAGCTAGTCTAGTATAATTACTGCTCAACCAAAAATATATCAAACAAAATGACTTGAAGTTATTTTAATAAATGGTACGCTTCAAAATCAGTAATATCAGTAGTAATATAATTTGTCAGTTTACTTTTGAAACCAAAAATAGCTCTGTAATCTACGTTATAAAGCTTCTTTTCAAACGCTATGTACTTAATACTTAATTTGCTAAATATTATAGCCAGCTACAATATATAATTAGAAGTGTTGATTTTATTATTACCCAGCCAAATACCATTTAAGCAGGGTCATTTTCTCAGTAAGTAGGCACTAATTGTATCTACTTAAGTCTATAAAGGAAACATTGCCGAAACGGCCCTACGGAAGAAAATCGATAACGGTCTTGGGCGCTTCGTTCAATTTCATTAAGTGGTTCTGACTTATTATAAAACTACAGCTGCAAGATTTTTTCCTCATTGTGGAAGTCTGATTTAGGTGTAGATAGAAGAATTTAATTTGGAAGTGATGAACTAGATAGTTTTGATTTAGGCATTTTATGAACTAGGTTAATGTCATTACTATGTATATGTAAGTATGATATATGTTTATTATAATGATATTAATATCATAGGTTTGACTGGTTGAGAAAGTCTATAGCATTAATAAAGTCCACCAATACAATTTACAAATTACAAGACCAATGTCTTTATTGTGCATTATACTTTCTGAATAAACAAAACAAAATGAATTAATGATTGAAATTTGTGAAAAGGAAACAGCTATATTTTGATGATACCCAAAATTATATTGATGTTTCTAAATCCTTCTATAACTACAAATAGAGAGGTATTAAGTTCACTCAAACTTTTAATAACCATAATCTGAATAATAAAAAATAAAATGTAAACGATCTTCCTAGAATCGCCTAAAATTCCCAGTAAACCTATTGAATCATATAAGCGAGCATCTGAAGCTTGGAATCGGATAGGGACGAAAATTCTCAAAAATTGGCTTCAACTGTTCACATAGTCGCGGTAAAAGCACTTCTAAATAAACAAACAAAAACAAAAAAAAAACTCGACAGGATAAATGACTCAGGAATAGCATTGTCGTTAGTGTCACATACATGTAGTATGGGCAAGCGAGTCATTATTAATAGCCACCCAGTTGCCCAAAGGTTACCTCTGGGAAATATCTCGCGACCTTTTGATACCGCTTCCAACTCGAAAATATTGTCCTAATGTTCCCATATTTAGTTTAGCTGATTCTAAATGTATTTACGTTAATATTTAGTAAAAACTCCATGTTATTTTCCTACGGCAACTCTTGTTAGTTGTATTGGTTGATTATGATTTCCTTGGAAAAAATTTAAGATTATTGAAGGTAACATTCCCATTACGTAGTATTATATATAAACTTATAGATTTATATTCCTGTGAATCTTAGTTGGTTGAAAATTGATTTCAAAGTCAGTGACTACTGACCCTAATCTGTTTTTCTTTTTGTGTTATTATACTTATAATTAAATTTCGGGCCTGATACACAAAAATTTATCAAAATTTCTCAAGATATAAAGAAATATCAACAAACAAATGTATCAAATTCATCTCAATTCTCAATAAACATCTTGAAATTGAACATTTTAAAGGTGACCAATTCTATTGAACGATTGGCAAATACAAGTCCAATTAATTTTCTGCTATAGTGTTGAAAATTGACAAAGTTGATCGGTCCTTCTGCCATTCGAAGCCCCCAATTCGATTTCAGTTACAAATGCGATGCCTACGGTATTACCGGACAAAATTAAATATAAATAAGATCGGAGGGTCGACTAGGGATTCAGAATCGAATTAAAAAATAATAACGCGTTTGAAATAGTGATGTTATTCTATCGATAAGTAAACTTCGTTCATGTAAGTTAGGGAAAAGAGTCACTCGACTGCCTCAATGTGTTTCCAAGATTATTTGAAGTAAGTTATACGGAGTTTGTATTTGTGATGGGGATATTCTTTCTTCTATTGTTGGAGCCAATATAAGTAACAAAGTAAGGATCCTCACTTTTGTTTCGTTGGCCGATGAGATTCGTATGTGATTGAGCCTATTTTATGTATGATTACACAATGAATGAATTTTATTAAATGATTTATATATTGCGCTTATTTGATAACGGAGGAAAACTCTTAAATAGCGCCTAAATTTTAAGGGAGAAGCCCTAAGGAGAGTGGGATTTTTATATTTCTTGAATCTCTTCAGTGGCTACTTTTCGGTGCCCCTATAAGTAGAACCGGTTCCTCTTCTAAACTTGCTCTGGAGCAACAGTCCTGATTAGGAGCATAATAAATAATATAAATAAATATAGACAAAAAAATCAGTTTCCAAACTTCGCGTTTAACAACAACAGCAGAACTAAAAACTAATTCATCCTCTACGAAACATCAGACGAAACCAAAAACATTACAACACCAATAATACAAATTCATATAACAGGAATATTGTCGTCAAACTTTACGTTTTGTGTTTTGCACAAAGGCAAAACCCTGGCAAATGAGTTAATAAAGTTTAATTAGACAATCCACTGTTAGATACAAGAAACAGTTCGGTTTACTCTGTGCTTGTTGTTCAAGATTTGTGTATCTGTGCGCCTTGTAACCTTGTAGGTTTGTTATGATTTCCTACAGGGTTTGAGTTGGTTAGACATGGTTTACAAGCATGCAACGTTAATAGAAGCTAAATTAAATGAAAATATTTGCCAAGTAAAGATGTCGCTAGTGTAGTTTATAGCTTGGGAAAGTTGCAGTGGTTGGATTTCAAGTTTGTTTTGGGTTAAACATAGTTGCTTTCATAATTTTGTTTATGATTAAAGCTACTGCAAGTATATATTTGCTAAGGAAACAATAATGTGTGTTCGACAAAAATATTTCTATTAGATTAATCAGTTTATGTAAGTTAACAAAATCCATTCCTATCGCTTATAAATTGTATTATAAAATACTGCTATAAAAAAATATATGGAATAATATTTTGAATAAAAATAAATTCAGAATGATAAAAATATCCCAACAAATAAAAGACTAAATGTCTTTGGAAAGAAAAAATAAAAACGTCACAATAAAGTTCAGTTCCTTATTCAAAAACAAACTCTGATAAAACACAACTTTTTTATAATTCTTTTAGACTCAGTATATATAATGAATACGAAAAAGAAAAAATGCCGGTCCCGGCTGTTGTCACATGATAACGGGGGCTTTACGTCATGACAGAGCGAACTTTGCCACAAAAACGTTGAAGAAGTTAAAGATACGAATAGCTGTATAATAATGTTGACCCGAACTTGTTCCTGACATATTTTAGATCAAGTCACAAAAAATGAACAGAAGAATTTTCGTTTAGAATGTTGGTAAAAGTATTCCAACAGAATTTAAAATTCTAAAAAAACTTTCCATCAAGGTTATAAAAGTAAGCAGACACATTAACTGAAAAATATTAGACTAATATAATTTAATTTAATTTAATTAATAAAATAAACACGAGAAAACTATCCTCCATAAATCACATAATCCATAACTTACCACTATCAAGATGGTTGAACAAATATCTACGTTTTATTGAAATCGTAATATTCTAAAAAAACATTCTATATTATATTTTTGCCTAAACTGGCGAATTTTCGTGCGACTTGGTGACGTTATCATTTCGCAACAATGGTCACTAGAAAGTCTGGTGACCGCAACACTACTCACAAACTACATTCAGCTGACCTCACATTGCTTTCATTCAAATGTGACAACTCAGATAGTCACCTCGTTAGTGAATTTTGAAGTCCTGTGGCAAACGAAAGGGCTCTCCTGCTACCAGAAGAATGCAAGTAACGACGTCACTATTTCATAGAACAGACGTGTTTTGAATTTATCCTCTTTTCTTTTAGACAAACAATGAAAAAAACCGAATTGGTGACTATATTTATAACATTACTGATTTTCATCCGCTTTCTAAACACAGGTTAATTTAGCAACGATATGTTATTTCCAAGATATAAGTAATTATTGCCATTACAAACAATCACAGCTGAATAAATTTGTTTCTACTCTGAATTTAATATTGATGTTATAACTTACCATCCAAAAGGGAGGAATATCAAACAGAATTACGTTTAAATTATACCGTTTTAATATCAAAAATCTGTGAACCGGGACATATATAAGCCAACTATTTACAAGACGTCAAGAGATAATAAAGTGGCTCTTATGTTATCTCTTCTATCAGCTCTGTCTCACACAAACTTTTGAACCAATTCGGCGTTTACACTACAATAATACCAGTGGCCAATAAAACAGTACAATATCAAATTCCTACCTCTCCCACTTAGCACCCTCTTTTTATGAGTTTGTCATTTAATACTGACTCGACTGTATTTACTCCGGAAGCATCTACTAATAAAATTTTAAGTGCTACCGAATCAAATTTTTAGGTCGTGCCTACTCTCCCGCTTTTAAGTAGGACCAAGGATGAATTTAAATGAGCTTTCAACAGCGTTGACTTGGAATTGCATAAATATTAATGGTTCGCGGACTACAAGACTGATGGATATGGATTAGCTGGAGTGAGTTTTCTTTAAGCAACTTGAGGGGACAACGTGTCTACAGCAAATTGTTTGTTGCTGTCCAATGAATATTAATCATTTACATTACCAAGAAAATGCTTCAATGCCCTCTTTCCGTCAATATTGCGTTCCGATTTATTATTGTTGCTGTCGACGCTAATGCGACGTTGTCAGTCACTGAATTCGCTGTTAAACTTAAGTTTATTATCTTTCGAGCAATCTTTCGTGTTTACTGTTTTAGTACTAATAAATAAATCTACAAACAGGACTTGTAGCAAAGTCCGCCATTAATGAGAAGCCGTTTGCGTTACATTCATTTACATTTAACTTGGGTCTAGCGTGAGAATGTTGGCAGATTCCTGAATATTAATAGCTACCTTATTAATGTTTGAACATCGCATTACCATTAAATTATTGAAATTAGCCTTCCTTGTTATGAAAACATTTTCTAACATAATTCTGTTTTTGTTCCAGGTTTACATGCAATAAAAATAGTGAAGTTTGTAGTGCCAGAGATAATTCAGTATGGTGTTCAAGATTCGGTAATATTAGACTGTGACTATACGTACGGGAACAGGACTCCAGGTCTTATGGTGAAGTGGTTCTTCAGAAGCAAAACGAGACCAGTGTATCAGTGGATAGTGTCACAAAAGCCACAGGACATAGGCATTTTAAGGGGCCGTGTGGACTTAAATTACAGAGCTTCAGATGATCCATTAAAAATGTATAGAGCTCTTCGAATAGTTAAATTAGATACGGACATATCTGGTGAATATATTTGTGTAGTGTCTACGTTTTTAGATGAAGATGTTAAAAGCAAACACATGACGGTTTTCGGTGAGTTGATAATCTTTATATTATTAATTATTTCTTTTGAAGAGAAAATAACCGCTATATTTTTCTTTATGGTATTGTCAGTTATGTTATTAAGCCCTTTGTAATACGGAGTGTGTCTAAAACTTCAAGTGGTAATATAATTTTTTTAAAGCGGAGGGTGAATATTTTCCAAAGACGACACACATGTATCTATAGATATGAAAATATGGAAGTAACGTTTCAAAACAATGGTAAATCTATTTCTTGAATCATATTAATATTAATACACAAACAAAACAAACTTGTAAATGTTATCCTAACCTTCATGAGGGTTCACGGTTCTATTTTCATCCCTATACATTCCACTTAGAAACACACGTGCGTTGACTATACAAACGAATGTTGGCTTAAACTTATATAAAGTTTGAACGTAAGTCATCGAATCCATGCTGAGAAAACATTCGATTTCATGTGTCGTGAACCTTTTCCTAGTAAACCGTTTTAGCTTTTTATATGTACGTGTAAAAAGATGTATGTAGGTAGTGATTTAGTTTTCTGACCTGTATCAAATTGGCGACTGGTACTACGTTTTTTTTTTCTTTTGTATTGTTTTTTATTTTCATTTTATCATAAAAAGACAAGTTCTGTAGTAATGTGTAAAACAGTTCTTTAATCTGTTACCAATATATTTTTTTTTCTATTTCTGTAGAAGCCATCATATGCCACCTTATTTTTCTATGTTAATTATTTAAGTGAAATCAGTAGGGTCTTAATTCAGAGCGATTATAAAAATATAATAATCTATATAATAAATCTAAAACAGAAACCCTTACACAAAACAAAATCACAGTCACAGTTTGATTATAGGTGTTTTGCCTAATTGCCATGCGTTTAGAGCCACTTTCTGAGGAAGTGTGTTGAAAATAAATATTATCAACAATATTGGTAACCAGCACAACAGTTTTCCACACAACACATACACACATACACGAAAATACAATTTGAAGGTAATACAAGTTCAAATTAACTAATTATAATAATTTCAAGTACATATTTATCAAAACTGTCAAGTGTTCCTCTATAATAGAACCGCTAGATTCCGTTGACACCGCATTGTTGGGGTTTGGCGTGTTAACTGATGTGTGAAACTTGAACTTTAACAATATCTGTAGCAAAGTTTATATTGCTATGTAGGTTACACTGTAAATAACCTCTACATTTCTCTTGTTGTTTTAATTAAAATCTAAATTAGCTTAGTTTTTTCTGCTGTGGTGTGGATAGTTTGAATTTTGGTCCGTTTTTTTATGGAAAGGAAATCATTCAATGACTTTATTCGAGAGGTAGTGTCAGTCTCTTTCTGGCTAAAAACGATGCCATTCTTTATCCTTATTGCACTTAATATTGATCTCTAAATCCTTTTTCTTTGTGACAATTTTCCACTCTTTTAAGTCTTTAGAAGTAAATTTAAAATGACACCTACAATTTGTGTTTATTTTTTTTTTGTCTCTTACATTTTCCTTACACAATTTAGACGTAAAATTTCAATATATTGTTGTTAAGTAAAAAAAATTAAAAATTTACTAGATTTTTTAAATAAAAGTACTAAGAGTAAAACAATAATACCAATAGTTTTAAAGTGTAATCATGTTTGGTTGATTAATGATTCTTCTGTTGGTTTACTTGAAAATCGTTAACATCTAATGTCTATTTCCTTACGAACTTATTTGGTCAACTTAAGTTCTTTCGCCAATTATTGATTTATCTTGATTTGTAAAATCATATGAAATCACGATTTAATACTTTTGAGAGATATAGCGAACTAGGTTTAGGAGTGCTAAACCAAATTTTTTGTATCTTAATAATAACTAAGTGATTTTTTTTACACTTTATTTAAAAAAGTGACGAATTAAATTTATTTTTAAAACGTTATCATTCCTATTATGAATACTTTATAGCTCAATTAAGTTATTGACGTATGAATGTGTAGATTGTTACCACTAATCTTAAGTGGCCTCACTGGCTATCGGAAAGTTCATTATAACTTAACCCTTTTACTGTAATGTGGTTAACCCGTGCCTGGTATGTGTACTGTCGTTTGATGAGGATAAACTGATTAACCCAATAAATAACTGGCTGGAACTTAGTCTAGCAGTGTAGCGTAGTCTTCATGCTTGCCGTCCGATCAGAGTCTACTTTTTCTTTTTCTTGAATTTTACCATTCTTTTATTCTATTTCATGTTTTATTCTAAATTGATTGGTATGAATTATTGTACTCGGAGCCCATTTTCCTTATGTTGATTTTATTTATATTTTATTTCATGTTTCACTCTGAATTAAATGATATGAACCCACAGTATGAACCTGATTGAATTAAATCGAGCAAAAACCTCCTTGGTTAGTCTTTACTAACTAAGGTAAGGTTAGGTTTTTGCTCGATCTTCATCATAGGACTCTACTCTTTAAAACGAGCTTCATTACAGACTTTTCCGACCGATTGAGTAGTTTATGTTGTTAAATATTTAAAAGCAACCAATTTATTAGAAATAAATTACTTGACTTTGATTTTCACCTAAACAAATTTGGCAAATAATTACATAAAAATTAAAGATTTTAACAATTGTGCGTTGTCTTTATTCTAGAGTTTTATCTATTCATACTACTTTTTAACTCGTATTAATACATAAAATTTGATTGATTTCTATTTCAACTATCGATGGCAGATAAACAATAGCACTAACCCTAATTCTAGATTGCGTGAGTCTAAAATTCATTCCCTTTTATTTTCCATTTCAAAATAACCTCAAGGGATCTATTTCCTTTGACCTAAGCCAAAATGCCTTACACGATTATTTAGTTGGCCTTGTTCGTGTATTTCCATTCCGATGGTTCTTTTGATCGAATGAAATTACTTTCTTCATTAATGAATTGTGTAAACAATTGCTATCGACCCATTTTAATCGATGTGGCATTGTCAACCTTATGTCTGTTTTACGTGGATACAATTCAGCTAATGTATGAGGATAACACGGAATTAAACACATAACACATGCTATTTGGCTGTATGAAATGTACTCGGAAACGCTTAATAGAAATTATGCTCCAGTAAACTTGTCTGAAACTACTATTTAGCTTAATTTTTTGCACCTCACGGTAAAACGTTATCCGCACCCAGAGGATTGTCCGGAACATCAAACGTTTTTTCCGGTAGAAGTATACATATATGTAAATATAAAGAACAATAACGTTGAGTGTTAAGCATAAAGTCTTGCCTGATTTCTACAACCTTAAACTATTCACTAGTTCCTTCTTCATAAATCCACAGAAATAGTGCCACAAAATCATAGAATACCGGCATGAAAAACGTTTGGTTTGCCTTTTACCAAAACCCACCAAATCGCCAAAACTCAAACCCCTAGCAACCCACAAAAGACCTGCAACGTATTTCTAACACGTTGGATGTTGCGGGTGTCTATAGGCGGAGCTGATTGCTAAGCATAAGGTGATAAGTTACATAACAACCTATTTCATAAAAAAGATTTCAGTCTTACGTAGCCAGATACTTTATTCGAAACTATACTTAAATAAAAATAAAGGCTATTTAACACATTATTGGTGGCTTTATCCGACTGAAACAGTGACATTTACAAACCACAATTGTGGGACTTGGCCCAATTCCTAACCTAATTTCCAATTGACATGCACTTGGCCAATTCATTTAGAAGGGAGAAAGAAAAGTATCAGCTGCGTGCTTAAGGAAAGTTATATAAAAGTTAACTGTGGGCAATATAACTTAACGGAGATCGTTAACCGTTAGTTAACAACCTGTTACTATACACAAACTGTTTTTCGTTTTCGTTTTTATTGTGATTTGGAATATTGCTACTTTGTTGAGCTTTTTTAACGAAATCGATGAATCGATTTTTATAAGTTTTTGTATTATGGTTAAGATACCATAGATATATACCATACGATAAAGTATTTAAGACTGTGATGATGGATAAAAGTGTTCTAAACTTTATGTGGGAGTGTGATAAAATTGACACGACTTAACAAAGAAAATGATCAATATAATTTCTTCAGTATAAACTTGTTACAAAAAAAAAGACACATCACACTGTCTTTCACAAATCACACAATACTTAAGATAAATCACAACAAACAAACTAAACTATAATTTAAATGTGTAATAATAAATATCAAATTTCAGTGCCGGAGACGAGTTTCCGATTAATCCAAAACAAGACGGATGATGACACGGTCAACGTCATCTGTGCAGCGGACGGAGCCTTCCCCGCACCAAACCTTACTATAGCCACACCAGAGAAGTGAGTAAATATATAATAATTTATCCCATTTTGTATAATATATTAGGAGTTTATTAAGTGCGGGAGAGCCATGCTTCGGCACGAATGGGTCGGCTCGACCGGAATGATATCACGGTCTCATTAAAAACCAGCGTGAAACAACCACAGCGTTGTGTTTTTCCGTTTAAGTGAGGTAATCATAGACCCAATACTTCCCCTTACCCAATGCCTCCCCATCCCTAAATACCAAAAACCCAGGTCTGCAACGCACTCGTAACTCTTTCGTTGTTAGGGTGTCCATGGGCAGCTATGATTGCTTACCATCATGAATGATAAATCATCTGAATAAAGATGACTATTCACAACTACACTTTGCAACGAGCACCTAGCTTCACTGACGAACAGACTGACCGACTATTATGCTATTTTCAGACGTTTTAAAAGTACATAGTCATGATTTAGTTACAATAATTGATTTAGATTTTGACTTTGAATAGAACGCAAAACAGAATTTGAAAGTCAAAGCAGCTATTTCAATGAATTTATACAATACATACTTTTTTCGTTCTGCTTCATCATCATCATCATCATCATCATCATCAGCCTATAAGTGCCCACTGCTGAACAAAGGCCTCTTCTCACACGGAGAAGGTTAGAGCATTAATCACCACGCTTGCTCAACGCGGGTTGGCGATTTTAAACTTATAACTAGAAATTATAAGTCCAGGTTTCCTCACGATGTTTACCTTCACCGTATGTCAGTGGTGTCTAAATAGTCATAGAGAGTACATATAACTCGGAAAAAGTCACATTGGTACTTGCCAGGTTTCGAACCCGCACCCTCTAGCATGAGAAGGTGCCTTAACCTCCGGGCCACCACCACAATATTTTCATTCTGCTTACTGTATTTTTATTTCTTGTTATTATTTGTCATTTTCTGTTTTTAAATTTAAATTTGCGTATAAACTGTTATGTCATATTGCATATGGTGTAGGTATAATATGTCCATGCAAAATTATTTACAAAGTTTTCAGAGAAAATCAACGTTTTCATTTTAAAACAACGTAGAAAGCAATCTTAAAAATTCAACGAGACCTGGATTCGATTGAATATATACACATTAAAATCTTGTTAATAAATTATAAATAACATGAAACACTACTCATGCCTTTTCAACTTTCCTCTGAAATAATTTAAATGAACTCCACAATTCAACGTAATATTGAACAACCTCCTTCCTTCGATTCAATCACAGTGAAATAAATATATTTATGGAAAATCAAAATAAATGTGTGGAAATTCTATACTTGGCTGAAGTGTTGTAATCCACAACACTTCACTGACTTCATTTAAAACGTAATTAATCGTCTTATCATTTTGAATGAAAGTCAAGACAGGCAGAAATTGTGTCCAAAACTATACATTTTTAATCACAATCATCCTACTTCAAACTTGCTTAATAGCCTTACATTTTGTGTTAGACCAAACGTTACAATTCGAATTCGATTTTCTATAATTTCCAACATTTCCAATTTCTTGATTAGGAAACGAGACGGCAATTTTAGATAGACCTCACTTACCTACAATTATTGATCATATGGCGTACGTCGTAGGAGTGCGTGATGTGCCTACAAGGTGTCTATGTTGTAATGTGCTGGGCGCAATTTGATATGGAATGTTCCAAAACGCTGGATGGGATTTGAGCCGTTTCATGGTATTTAGTTCTGTATTGTTTCCTAGTTCCATTGTTAAATGAATTCATGGTAATTGTCTATTTCGCAGAACTTTGGTAATGTTATTGAGGCGGTAATGTTCGCAATATTTATTTCGTAAGTGGACTTCAATATTTTGTTTTTGGAAAAAAAAACTGTGTGTAAGATTTTATGAGTGTGATTTTATGATAAAAATACAAAAGAAAAAAAAGACCAACAAAATTTTTACTTTACTCAGAAAGCATTCAAAGTCGATGAAATTAAAATTATAAAGATTAAACAAGTCTTAAAATTTAAAAGAATTCTAGGACTTTTATACCTTAATATAATATCACATTTCGAACAATTGATTGTAGAAGAATAAAAGAACTTGGCAACGTTTTGAGGCTAAGATTAAACTAGGTTGGCCTGAGCTACCACCTGCCAAGCTCCAGGTTATAAAATATGCTTTTGCTAAAAATTTTCATTTTCTACCAATATTTCTTATTAGCATACTACGTTATATCCGCCATTTCCACGTCCTTGTGGTATGGATGATAATTAACATTGCAATAAATATTTAAGGAACGAGTAGGAAATCACTGAAGGTAAAGGGAGGAATGTAAGGAACTTGGGTCCGTCCTCACGGGACAGTGGCGTCAGGTCAGTTACTTATTTATAAGATGTTTGAGTACATCGTGTATTTTGGCATAAAAAAATATTAACATTACCTAGAGATGTATCTTCATTCAATAAAATTGGCATTATTAGAAAAACGTAAATGCAAAATTTTTAAAAAAGTCTGCCGTTGTTCGTATCCGCCCAGTTTCAGAACACCTCTCTAATAGCCTCGAGCAGTATTAGAAAACTTGCTGTTAATAAATTGAGGAAAGTCCAGTTCTCCTGTCATCTGGAGGGTAAGGCTAAATTAGCCTCAAAGAAGCTAGGTGTTTTCAATTGGTCGAGGCAGTGTTTCTCCGGGGCATTACTATATTTTTAAACGTTCGGGTTTGGCCCCATATTGTACAATGTGCTAATCTATGAGCGGGGACACTTCAATACCAGTTTCTCTATCTGGGCCGCATTCAGTGCCGATAAAGAGTCTGCTTGTTTGAAACCTAATTCTTGAAAAACTATTTCTTTTTGTACTAGCCTATAATGTCCCAGACATGGGCAAAAGCCCGTGTCGAAAAAAAAATACAACTCCCAAATGATTCTAAAACAGAGGTTTTGTAAGTCCCCGAAACTCCCACCGAAACAATCTTAGAGAAACAACAGACAAATATTTTTATAATGAATGTACAAACTAAAACGATCTCAACTTTCTAATTTAACTTTGTGTAACCAACATTACAAGCGGCGACCACATATTTGCCGGGAACAATGAAGTTTTCCCTCCTACGGGAAATATGTCTTGAAACTAACAACAAAATTTAATCAAAAGAGAATGTTTTAAAAACTACGAACATAGACTTGGAGGAGCTTTGAATTATTTGCGGTGATTTTTTACTGCTTACTTCCTATCTTTTAAGACAAAACAACGCATTCTTTAGGTTAAAAAGTCGGAAAATGCATTCTCTTTTGTTATACTTCAGGCAATGAATGGGGAGTAGCGAAAAATATTTGTGCAGGAAAATTTAATTACGGCTATCTGCATTTAATGCCTTGAGCGATGCTAAATTTGGAAATTAAATTATATGAAAATGTCTGTTAATGTTGGCCCATTCTTGTGTTTTCTCATTTTCGTGCTTTTGTAGATCTTGGCGAAAATAAACATTAACGTTTTGTGTTATTTTTTCTGGCTGAAACATTCTTTAATAATTGTGAAAAGGATTTAAATTGGATGTTAGAGGAATAAAGGTTTGTCGAACTTTGTAAAATGTTTTTTATGGGATAGGCAGACACATAAGAAGGACGGACCAAGCAACTAATTATACACAATCGGCACAGTCCATGAACTATGAACACTCACAAGACTAGAGGAGTTACAAGTGCGTAGTTGGTCTTTAAATGATTGAGGGATTATGTATAGGAGGAGGCAATATGTAAACAAATCCTTGCACAAAAATAAGTTTTTACATAAACATTGAAGAAGTATTTTGATCTAAATAAATAAAAAAAAACCTTCGTGTAAATTTCGAAGCGAGATTGTCCAGAATCCAAGTGGTTACATTTCGTTATAAATTGGATCCCCAATGTCTTTGACAAAACTATATTTCCGAAATTACTTTTGTTCTTTTGAAATAAGATTGGAGAAAAATACATAGATTTGTATTTCGATATGAAGTGTGAATATTCAGTGTTATGTAACATCGTGTTTGGTATTTGCTAAAATGAATGAAAATGATTTTTACTAAGTAATTTCTTTAAACGTACGTCGCGATGGCCCTGCAACAATACTGCAATAATGTCATACATGAAGAGGTGGGTTTGAAATCTGGCAATACTCCTGTGACTTTTTGAGTCGTGTATACTTTTAAAGTTCGTTTAGACACAGACATACGGTAAAGGTGGAAGAAGAAGGTGGTAAAACATAGTGTGGAAACCAGAGTTAATTATTTCTTTTTATAAATTTGGGATCGCCAATTCACCATGAGCAAGCGTGGTGAATTATAATGCTCAATAAATCTCGGTGTGAGAGAGGTACTTGCACAGCAGTGTAATTCCGTCAAATAATAAAATAAATAATGTTTAATTGTGCCCCATTATTGTAAATTTTATAAAAATAATCGCAAATTTATTCATATTATGTTGTATAAGTAATGAGCAGCCTTATCGCTTTGAGCGATGTCTTCCTAGCAACCTTAGGATGGATATTAACTAGAAGAATATAAAAGTGGTAGTCAAAGTACTGCAATACATGAATTCTTGAAAAGAGTTAAAATTAAAAATTAAGTCCCAAAATTGTCATATTCATTACGATAGATTCAGTCGCCTGCACTCTGTTCGTGAGTAAGAGTTCCGCTGTCTTGAAGCTTCTCTCATTTAGGCAATGTAACCTTCCACGCGCTTATACAAATGAGGGCTAGGAATAGGGTCGAACGAAGTGATACCATGGCCTCATAGAAAGCCGGCGTAAAACAACCACAGCTTTATGTTTCACCGTCTGTATGAAGTTACTGGAGGCATAATCCATCACTTCCCCCATCCTTCTCAAATTAAATCTGAAATCTTCAATCCTAAAGCTCCCAAAACCCTTATAAATATATGGTATGGCAAATGTCCATTGGCGGCGCCAATTGCTTCCCATCACAAAAAAAATATTTACCCAGCTTTATTTACCTAATATTGTGTAAATTATTTTATAATATGTAAAGTATTTAATTCAAGCGTTTGTAGAGCAAGCAAAAATAAACCTTATTTACTGCAGAAGACTGGTTTTGTACTTATAATTAGAAAAGCCGATACGTCCTTGCTCTAAAATAAGACTGAAGGGGTGACAGAGGATAGGTTCGCTTATACATAAACATAGGGTTCCTAAGTAAACAGCAATGAGACTAAAAATAGCTGTATACCTTCAAAAACAACATTAACACTGAATATAGGGAATATAAACTTAATTTTATTCAAACATACATCATTTTAAGGCAAAATCAAAAATAAAATATAAGATTGAACGTAGATATACTGTTTTTTTTAATCAAAATGAATTCATTTGGATTAAAAAAAATCCAAATGAATTACACTACTTCAATATCTACATAAATTATACTATAAAAATAAAATAACTGATCATAGCCACTATTAACACCTCTAAGCTGTGGCGGATATCTATGGATAGGCAAAATTTTTTGTCACGTCCTCTCTTGAAATAAAGTAAAATGACTAAAATCTTAATAAATATTTATATATATTTTTTTGTACTAATGTTTACATATTTTTATAATTATGTATTATGTATTTAAATGCATAATGTTACATTCTTTATACAATAATTATTCTCCAAAATTACCGTCGTTTCTGGCGGTAATTCTTTCGCGCACGTTTCAAACGAAGCACGTAAACCAGCTTTCTAGGTTATCGCCAGAAGATTTATGTCAGCCGTTATGAATAGTCAGAAGTTTTAAACTCTGACAACGGATTTAAATTTCGTATCGTCTCTTTTGCGTCGTAAAAAGCAAAAGATAATAAAAAACAACAACTATGTAGTTATAGTGTTATGTTTCACATCGACTTTTTTCACCCTCTTTTTTTGTCAGGGGAAAATCATCAAATGACTTCTCCCGCCCAAAGTTAGGCGAGAGAGAGTGTCAGACTCTTACTGACTTAAAACCCCCTCGTTCCTTCTCCTGCTCTGGGCCTAACCCTCGGCGACTCATTGTGCTTAACCCGCAACCCCGGCTGAACATCAGCCCTACAGGGAAGCAAGGTGGTCTATTGGCTCTTTGAGGCGCGCGCGGAATGCTACGCGCCGTACGCTCGGGCCTGGTTCTGGTCGGGCGGCGAGTTACCCTTACTCGCTGTCCGAAGACCAGCGCTTACGATGGCCGGAGATCATCTCTCGATCCCCGACGCTCTTTTTCACCCTGGGGAGGTTATTTTGTTGCCAGGAGAAAATCTTCAAACGACTTCTCTAGCCCAGTGAAAGGCAATAGAGAGAGTGTTAGACTCTTACTGACTTAAAACCTCCCCGTTCCTTCTCCTGCTTTAGGCCGCGGTGCCACATTGCCTACCCCTCAGCTGACCTTTGACAGGGTGAGTGGGAGTTTAGACTCTTACTATTTAAAAACCACCTTGATTTTTGTCATGCTCCAGGCCGAGGCCACCGTCCAATATTGCGCTTGAGCCGCAACCACGGCTGTTCACATGGCTTGAGACGTCATCGATGAGCAATCACAGACAAAAATCAAAGACAAATGTATAATTATTTTTATCATATGGATAACGCTTAGTCCGTGGTAACCTGATTAAACAACTCTTTGAGTCAGCCGTACACGAAAAAAGTCATTTAAGAATAGCTTTTACGAAAAACAGTTGAAATAAACTTTTCGTAAACGGCGCTCCAAAACAAGATGGATGCCTATTGACTTATAAAATAGTGGTCTATAACGTAAGATCGGAATAGCTTCAAATAGCGCTGATACACTTAAATATTAGTCCCAGTTGAGTTGGGCCGCATTAACCCGAAATTTATAGTCGCGGCCAGCTAAAGTATGGATAATAATATATCAGGATTAAATATAAAAGGACCGTTATTATAATGTTATGGCGCTTTCTGTATATTGGTTTGTGTTTGTATAAAAAGTACTTCAGTGATTAGGAAGAACTCTTCCTCTTATGTTTTTGGTTGTAAATTCGAGTTTAATTTTCAAAAGTCTACAGCCAATGTCTTGTCGATATCTTTGTTAAGAGAATTATTAATTCTTCTACGAAATACTGCCTAAAGAATCTTTTTTTTTCCAAAAAATAGCGAGACGATGGATCCCTCGATGGTCAGCAATTGGGGCCACCCATGAACACCTGCACTATCGAGAAGTTAAAACTTTGTAGCCAGTTTTTTAGGATTTGAGATTTAAAGATTAGGGTGAGGTGAAAAGGACTGGCAAGCAAGCGCAATTACACATCGTTTTTTTGTGAGACCGTTACATTCCACGCTGTTTCAAAAGAAGCTTCATTTCCTCAACAATACTTAATTTTTCTGATATAGTCAAATAATGACGTGATTTTACTTACATTTGCTATATTTTTTATTGAATTCTACAGCTTAACTCTCATTTTTCTTTTCAGACATCTACAAGGAGTGGACCACAAAGTGCAACTAGTCAATGGGAGGTACTCAGCGGTATCGTCCGTCACACTCAATGATGCAGACCTGCCGTCACCGGCAGAATTCATTTGTACACTAAGAATACCACAGGCGAAGTATGCCGTTAGAAAAGAAGCAATTTATTATCCAGGTAAGATCTTTTACATTATTCATTCAGAAAATCGACGTGAAGCAACACCTACGTTGTGTTTCGATGTGTAAGTGAGGCCACAGGTCCAATCAGTTTCCCCCCATCCACAATCCTCAAATCATGTATCCTTAAATCCCTCATAAGCAACATGAGGACATTGATATTACGAGTGTCCATGGCCGACGCTGATTGCTTACCATCAGGTAATCCGTCTACTATTTTGCCGACGTATTACATAAAAAACTACATCCAATCATAGTAGGAAATATCGGTTGATTACTTCATAATTAATAATTTGTCAGTTATTTGATGGTAATGTAAGTCAATAATCAAGAATAGGCAAAAATAATGACGTGTGCTTGGTTGAGATTTGTCTGTAATTTCCGTCTTTTTATGTGATGTTACCTGATGGTAAGCAATCAGCGCTGTTCTATGGATACCGGCAACACCAAAGGAGTTGCTAGTGCGTTACCGGCGTTTTGAGGATAATTGGTTTTGTGGATTTTGGAATGGTATGAGACACAACAACAACAACCTCACTCGCACGGCGAAACACACCGGTGTGGTTGTTTCACCCTGGTTTATCATAAAACATAAGATCAGACTTCGGTAGTTTTAGAATAACGACAAAACACTACTGCAAAAATATACATATACAAAAGATACTTCCCTACATAATCATTTTTATATATTTTTATGTTCAGATATAAAATATTCATATTGTGAAAAACAAAGTTGTATTCTCTAGAAAGAAGCCTAACCACCCTCGATGTTGAAATAAACGCGAAAAATGTTTTAGCTCTCAACAGTGAACGAGTGAATTCAAAATGTTTTTAATTTACATAATAGTGCCTCAATGGAATAATCAAGATTCAAATAAAAAATTCTTGCGGAAAATGTTAGTCTTCAGAATAGCTGTTTTCTTTGATTTATCTTTCGACGAACATTTGCGGTAAACAAAAATGCCTTGTTAGACCAATTAGCGCAAAAATGTGCTTGGATTTGCTGCATTTTTAGAAGTTTCTGGAATTGACATTTATGTAGTTTATTATGGCAATGGTTGCCTCAACTCAGAAATAATTAGATGACGTTAAAAAAAAAATTGAATCAAAATGTCACTAAAACTGCCCAGGTTAAATATACATATAAAAAACCAAAATAATGTACAGCACAAAAACTTTTAAGCAGCCTCTTAGCCTACTTATGCATTAAAAAGTCAACTAAACCGCTTTATAAGGCAACGAACGACATCATTGTGCCTCTAGTAAAGGCAAAGAATAAGGAATGGTACCTATATTTTTTAACGAGAACCATGAAAATAACAATTTCGCGGTATAATTTTCTAGAGGGCCATTTAAGCTTTTTATCAGTGAAAAGTTTGTGTACACAGCTATCTAAAGTACATGCGACGAACGTTTCCTACAGTCCTCTTGAATAATTTTATGCTTCGTTAAGTCTATTGTGGAGGGTAAATGCGCTTAATAGAATATCGGTGGGCGCCCAAACGTTTTTTTCCTAACGTTTGTTCCTTATGATCCTAATGAAAAGTCAACAAACCCTAGTCTGCGAGTTTCTCCGAAGAATCTTTTTTAGATTGGACATTGAAAGATGGGTGTTATGATAGATAGACTGCCTTGTTGATCAAGTGGTTTGGAATTTGACTGATGACAAAGAGATCTCAGTTTGGGTATCCTACTATTCTAAGGAATTCTGAATTAAAACACTAGTCAAAAGAAAGAGTTTATAATTTAGTAGGTAAGGTTTCACTTGTTTTATAACTAGAACATAAATGGCGTAGAGATGATTTGATCATAGATGGCAGGAGTTATTACTAGCGGCCGTCTTCTGCTTCACTGTAACTGTAACTTTCATTAGAATCTTCTCCTGATAAACAAAAAAATAATTGACGAAATTGATCCAGTTGTTATTGAGATGCGCTAACCAACACATTTTACACCTCATTTTTACATATCTACAGTAAATACTACCAATCAAGATGGTACAATGTTCTACCCATTTTATTCAACATTTATTTTTTGTATTTCTAATAAAACGTAAACAAACCATAGTACAAGTAGTTCCCAGAAATCTTCCTCAGATTGGACATTGAAAGATGGATATTATGATAGATAGAGATTTTTAGTTACATCAATAGTGATGTCCCAAGGGTATATCCCAATTTACTGTTGACAAACTATTCGATGTCATTCGGGTTTCGGTTCTTCACATGTATCCCGTACTTTTTATTTCATTTTACCTTTAGTAACGTGGTTGGAATTGTTACGAAACTTCGTCATGTTGCTTTGTGGTTCGTAAATTATAAAGGATGTGTTTTATCGTGGATGTGGAGTTTCTTTGTTTACGAGTTTGAAGTAAGAAAGAGTATTCTTTATTTGAAAGTTTGAAAACTTTGTTTAATATCGCCGTGATGTAAAATTTTAATGATATTCTTACGACTTCTTGTGAAACGTTTCATTACTTTAAATAAAATATTGTTCTGGCATCACGTTGGTTTCGACCAATCACAAAGCTGCACCAAGGATGACGTTGTACCGTGGACCGCAAATCGCTTTGCATTTTGTCGCCCCGTAGCATGAAGTTGTTTTTATGTTAACCATTCTTGCCTGTTTACGAAAAGTCGCTCACAATGAAAATATTCTTAAAGTTGAGATTTATAAATAATTGGGTAGTTTCCTAGGTCAAAAATAAATTTATTCGATGTTTCAGTACAATAATATATTAAAAAAAACTATACTTTTATTCATCAATCGATCGATACACTGAATATTAAATATTTTTTAAGAAATAAGTAAACTAGTTGACACAAAAAAACGATGACGTCATAACACAGTTTTTTATACAAATTTCATAGAAAAGTATAGTTTTGACATTTGAATAAAAGTATTGAATTTGACTAGTTGGAAACTACTAGGTTCCCTGTTCATCACATCATCAGCCCATAAGTGCTCGCCCAATTCTAATTTAGTTGACTCGTTGAGACATAAAAAAACAGATGCATAAGGCAAAGCACTATATCGTTTATAATCCCCGCCTTCCATATATGTGTGTATTGTCTTATACAATTTGCCATGTTTGTCTCCAGGTCCAATAAGCACGACTCCTGAGATGCCCACAGCAGCAGACATGCAGTTAGCGGCAGCAGTCAGCTCGAGAGGTAAGACACCACCCACTAATTACAATTAAACACATTTTTCTCCTGCTCTTTGACGCTTTTGGATTTTTCATCTATTACTCTTTTTTTTCAAAAAAATATTAAATTCTATAGGATAAGTTTCGTTTTTTAATAAAAATTAAATTAAATTATTTTTTTTGAATTTCTGAGAATTCGGTATGCATAATAATAAATTAAAAAGAAATAATTGCTTTGTTCAGGTAATTAGGTATGTCACAAATTTTATTGAAGTTCATCTGTAACAAATAAATTTTCTATTTTATTAATAAATTAATATAACTAATTATTTTAGTTACTTATATTATTATAATTTATCGAAAATTATTATTACGCTTCATTATTATTTCATATCTTCATTTTATTTTATAATAATTGTAGTTTTTGCATTTGAATAACCATATTAAATATGTTTTTTTATCTTTCTTTTACAGAGGCAAACTCCTTTATGGCACTCACAATGGCTTGTTTGACAGTACTTATACGGCTTCTTGTCTCATAAAGACGTCAGGAAGAAAGTTTTGTTCCCAAAAATATATATTTAAGTTATACTTTTTTACTTTATCATACAAAATATGTCTCATGAAAAGGAGTCAGTGTAATTGACAACCCTAATGTGACATTTGATAGTCATACACACTTTTTCGATTTCAATGGAAACTGACATTTCTTGGCATAATTTTCTGGAATAGATTAAGGCATATTGTTACTGACACATTCCATATATGTAGTTCTAGTCATACCCAAAGTAACCACAACCAAACCAAATAGGTTTATTGAAACAGCTTAATTAAAAAAAAAACACCCTTTGTAATTATTCAGCAGAAATAAATAGCTTTACGTGTTGATGAGTTAAGTCGATGTTTTTGAAGCAAGCAAATAAAGAGAAGTAATAAAATAAATAAAAATAAAAATAGGTAAATTATAAAAAAATCAGTGTATGAATTTCGTATTTCGAAAATATTTTTCATTATGAAAACCAAAGTTTTAAATGTGTATATAAGAGTTTCTTTGAAAGAAAATGTACAGAGTTTGTAGTTAGATATGTGGTCATGGGCCTAAGGAAGGACAATTGAAAAGATTCGTGAGTGGTCGTTGTGGATTGTATTGTTAAGTCTGTATAAATATTTTTAGTTACAGGTCATTTATTGCAAATAATATAATTAATAAGCATGCCGCAATATTTTTATTACATAGCATAATCATTGTAATAAGTTACATAATAATTAATCTCATCATAAAAAAAATAAACTATTAACAGCTAACTTACAAAAGCAAATGACAATTGATTTAATATAATTATACCCGAAAAATTAGGCAAATTTAATTAAATTACGAATGTTTTTTTCATGAGAGAGTATTATTTGAATAGTTGTCATTTGTTTTAATTAAATACATGACACATTCATTCATAAGCGAATCAATCTCTACGCGAATTATTTTTATCGGTTAATATCATAATGTTACAATATTTTTTTGTCAAAACGCTGTATTTATTTAGTATTAGTATTTCCAAAGACGATATACGTATAATCTGTACAAAATCGAAAATAAAATTGTTAATGTCTAAAATGTCGAATACACAATACTCAATATGATATTGTAAAAAAAATAGTAATTTATTTTTCCATATTTAGTTGGTACTGTAAAAAAACATTGTACTGCGAAAAATCAAGAATATAATAAATTCACAAAAACAAAATAATAATAATAATTTATATCACATAATTTGATTATCGAAAACATTAAATTCTGAGTTAACAAAATTTCATTTAGAAAATCTTACATGAAATTGAATTTCGTACCAAAACGGTTACAGAAATAAACACACAAAAATTCGTACCAAAAAATACCGATGTAAAAAAGTGTCATTAAAATATGTGTCATCTTATGCTTACTTCGTGTTTCTAGAAGGGATGAGGATCCTTCCATCCTTTCGTAAACAGGGTATTGAATTTAGTTGATTCTTAATTTTCAATTTCAGCCACTGATCGGTATGAATTTTGGACAATATTGTAAAAAGAAAATGTTAAGCCCTTATTCGTTAACTTATTTTTTTGGCTTAAATTTCAGTCTGTTCGTCGAAAACCGTATGAAGCACGTTGCGATGTTTTTTTAGTAAAATTGTTCAATATAGGTTAAAGAGTACTCAGTAAAATAAGTTGAAGCTTCAATAAAAATGCGTTCATGAATAAGGGTATTTGTAAATATTTGTATGGATTGAATATAATAAGTTTGTTCTGTTGAATTAGAATAAGGTCTAGTAATAATATTTGCTGTGCATATTGCCGTTTATGGATAAGATCCAATCAAGACTTTTATTGTGAAATTTCCTAAAATAAAAAGGATCGTTGTGTATTTTTTGTTTTAATTTTCACAATACCTACAGTCGCCTTCATTTCACCCACTGCTTGGCTCCCATTGGTCACTGATGTTTTGTAGCCTACTAGCCGAGCACCGCAGTTTCTCTCGCGTAGTGTATGCTATGTTTACCGAGGATACCGTAGCTGCCTTAAGTGATAGAATTTTTCAAATTGGTCACAGCTTATTCCATTCAAACAAACAAAACATCAAATATTTCCTCTGTATAATTGCCGCTCTGCAGTACTGGCCATTTCAAATCTAAATAGTTTTTGTTAGGCTAAGGCTAATTAATTTTATTTTAAAAACATGGGATTCTTTTTCCAATAGTTGTAAATCAATAATAAAATGTTTATTGTTAGTGTGTTAGTGTTACATTTTTATCGCATTTCAAGTAAAAAAAATCGCTTACATTTTTTCATGCAAAACGGCAATTTCATAGTTAAACACCTATTATTAGGATCTAGGATAGATAACTTTCTTTCATAGGTGGACTATCCAAAACAGAAAGAACTGTTCACTTAAAAGCAGTGATTCCGCAGAACAACAGACAGCAAATTCAATCAATTAAAAACACTTTTCAGATTCAAAATATTTGTATTGATTATATACACAAAACAAGAAAACGAGATCAAAATAGATAGCCGATATTTTTAAAGCCTAAAAACCTATTCAGGTCAAACACTCATCTCCGAAGAAAACAGGCTTATGTGACGTAAGTACGGTATATTTTAATATGACCTCTATAGCTAATAGTCATTAGACTACCCAACCTTGTGATACCGTGTTAATGACGATCTCAGTTATACAATATTATTTATTGAGGCTTAAACCTCACACGGTCCCTTTTAATCCTTTTGGGTTTACCTTGACGGAACTAATAAGTTATTGGCCCAAACACATACGTAAGTTAAATGAGATACTTCGTATTTGTGTTTACACATCACATACCTATATATATTGTGAAAATATAAAATTTGAAGAGAAAATACTTAAGATTAATATTTTAAATTTTTCTGTACTCTCAGTTTTACATTTAGGATTTAAAAGTGACTGAACTCAGATTTTTTATGTCTGCATTTCTGGTTTCATCTAGTTTTCTTCTTATTTTCATTAAAAAGTTTGACTTTAGACAGACAGTATTAATTAAAATATGATGATTTTCGACCTATTTACAAAAAAAATTATTTGTTTCATTCTTGATGATCCGATGATTGAGTCATTTGTGTTTTTTTTCAAATCGAAGTTCCTGAATTCGTTTGGAACAAGGCGGCTAATCAACTATGGATCAGTTGATAGTAAGCAAAAGGTATCTCCCATGGATACTCGTAGGGGAGTTGTAAGTTCCCACAGCCCAGCCTTTTAAGCATTGGAAATTGGGGATTGACTAGATAAAGATAATTTATTTGCAAATATGGGTAACACAATAAGATGTGGTGTTTAGTTCTTATTATAGATATAGCTTTGATGTGATATGACATTCAGGAGATGGAAGACTCCGAAATGAACCCTGATTTTTTGAGTAGGTATTACTATTGCGAGTACTAATCTGCCTTGATTGTATCAAGTGTATTGACAGAGCAAAGAAATAAAAATAAAAAAGTAATACCGGGTGTAAGGGACAGCGTCCAGCAAACTGCTTTTCCTGAAAAAAATCCTGGTGATAGTTGTTCAGTTTCGTTGACTGAGCAACCCCTATCAGTTTGCGGGACGCTATCCCTTACACCCAGTATATATTATATTACAAGTGAAAGTAATTGTTTTATTTTTTGAAATCAGACTTTACTTTTTTTACATAATAATAATCATAAAGCAAGACAAAGTCGTTGCCTCTATAATCTTTTACCAGCTCAGAAGCCAACCTCATTATCATTAATACCTTTGTCTTTGGGAAATTTGAACTTAAAGGGGTTTGAAATACGCCGCCAAGTATTCCCTTTTTTAAATTTTTTACCAAGGAATTTTTATTTTTTCATCCCTCCAAAAATGGGGTGCGATGACAAAGTCAAATAAAATGAAGATAATTTGATGCGGTCGTGAAGTCAATGCGAATATTTCCCACCAGAAAAGGGTTTAGTGCAATATAATGAGAGGAAGACTTCATTATTTGGTATGGTGTCACAATGGTAGGTACTATGAACCTTAGTCAGGTTGTGTGTGTCAAACAATGTTGAGGTACAAATTGATTCAAAGATAGACCGAGAGGAACTGTGATTTATTCTTTGAATTGTTAATTAATTGAAATTAACAATATTAATAAAAATATCAAAGAAACTGTTTTATAAATGTGGATGGATGGAGAGGGAGGGGCAGACCAAAGAAAATATGGATGGATTGTGTGAGAAGTGATATGGAAGACAGAGGAGTTAGCGATAGCGTGACGAGTGACAGGACAGAATGGAAGAAAAAACATATTGCGCCGACCCCAAATAAAACGGGACAAGGGCAGGAAGATGATGATGATGATCAAAGAAACTGTTTTATCAAAATTTGAAGGAATCACTTTGTCTATGTTGTCCAGACTAATTTGTTACAGAACAAATTACATGAACACAATACAATATATACCAATACACAATATAACCGAATAATGTTTTTGTATAAAAGTTTTCCGATTAAAAATCTTACGACATTATTTTATCAATGTTTTTAACACGTACTACGTACGTGTACTTAGGTTAAAGCGGTAAAATGCGTGATTTTTAGTACGAAATTAAATCTTAACAAAATTCGTATGTATGAGTGATCCATCAAAATGGTAACCGGGTCAGGAATGGAAAACATTTTCCGATGCATTAGACCATTCCCGCGAGTTTCGGACTTCTCATTGAATAATAGATACGTTCGCCTCTCCGAACGAATTATCCGGCTAAATTATGGAGCACGCCACCTCTGACCGAAGCCGTAGGTATAAATCGACTTCGTTACCTATTTCGGCTATAGCTTATGTGGAGTCAAAATGGTTGCTTCAGTACTGTTTGACGCCTAGAAGTAATTTCGGCTTGAATGATTGATCGTGCAGTCAACGCGAGGGTAAACAGATAGTCTTTTATGTTCGACTGAATTAAATATTAACGGTGTGTCGTGGTGGCCCCGCTTCTCGTGCATTAGGATGCGGGTTCAAAACCTGACAAGTCCCAA